TGCCATTCCTATTTGAAATGATAAAAATTGGACTAATTGGGTTGGTCGAGGTTGAACCATTGAATAACTTTAAAATACATTATATTTTAGCCTCTAAGATATAAAATAATAGCATTATATATTATGCTAGAGAAAATAGCTTGTTTTAGAATGACAAACCAATGATGTTCATTTTTTTTATTTGATGGCCAAATCCCGTGTAGGTCAGACTCATTCAACTCTTTTATTTTATTGTTAGCGATTAGCCCATTAGATACCATGCATTAGTTTATTGTTAAATTTTTATTTTTAGCAATAAAAATGAGTATTGTTTTTGCCTTTTCATATATATTTTATCACCAGGGAGAAATAAAAGGGCTTAAAGAAAAAAAATTGACACTCCTGGACCCGTTTAAATCCGTATGTGTACGGTAAGTTGGCCCGTTCCACAGAGGAAAGAGAAAAAAATTGACACTCCCTATTCTACCCTTCCTACAAACGCTCCTGGAGCAGGGAATTTGAAATGGGGGAAGGGTTTTTTTTCCTCCCTGCTATTATATGTTTTTAATTTAAAAAGATACAACAAATGTACTTAGTGTGATTAGTTATGAACTTATGATCCTTGCTTTTCTTTAAAATGGTCATGGTTCGAATCCCAGTACGTGTCTTTTTAATGAATAAAAAAAGTAATTGTGAAGACCAAAATGTCCTTCCTACTTTCACTCTCGTTGCAGAAAATTTGAAATGGGGCTCCCGTTTTTTCCTTCGGTGTATTATATTACTAGCATTGGGCCCGCCCGTTTGGGCGGGTGAGGCCATAAAAATAGATATGCTATAAAATGAGAATTTTTTTATGAGAATATGATATATAATGGAGATGCATATAGTGTGTTTTCTACATTATTTATGCATAGGCATAAATAATGTTGTCAAGTTTTTCCCGCTATGCTTACAATATAATAGGATTAGAAATATAATATTAGTAATAATTAAATACAACTAATAATTTTTCATTATTCATATAAAAAGATTAGCTACTTGAGTAGGCCATATAGTTGAATGTTGGAGTTGCTTCACATCACATACATAATTAACGTTTAGGATGGAAAAAAACTGATTGGTCTCTGATAGAGTTTAACATGTCACAAGTTTTTTTTCTTTCAATAGACATCATTCTTGTTGATCACAACATGGGTCATTGATCTCAAGTTGCGGGATTTAAAATATATAAGGCATAATGCAAATTTGGTGGGGAGTTAGAAGGTTTAAGAAATCTAAAACTAAATTTTGGAATATACTTCCATCCGGCAAACTTCTACCACCATTTCTGGAAACTGAATTCGTAGAGAAAACAGTGACTCTGTCATGCATTTTCGAGTCATCAACCTAAAATTTGGTAGAGGCATATATCCTACATTCCAAGATTTTGTTTTAAAAAATTTGAAGATCAAATTTGTTTATTAACGCTTGACATTGTACACCATAAAAAGGCATTACATGTACATGGTTAAGACATAGAAGAATGCTCATAATATCTCACTTTCTTATAAACTTATTTCTATTTACTAATAAATCACCACATCAACATCTGATATCTATCAATTATTTCTTAAAGCTAAAAATGTGAAGAGGAAAACGTTAAGACTGGACGATTTTTTTTTTACAGAATGGAGGATGATTTTGATTTTTGAATGCAATCGAATGAGATAAATTTTTGTCATTTTAACTTACTCCCATATATTCACTGTTGCGGCAGCTTTACCATTACCTTATCTTACCTTTGCTAACCCACCAAAGAAGTTTCAAGTTGCATACATTTACAACAACTTTCATCTCTAATACGCATCATCAATTCCACAATCAAATTGGAAAAATTACTTCAACCATCCTTATGTCAGAAAGGCTCTAATAAGAACCAATTACTACAATATCCTAGAAAAAAAAAATCATAATCAACTTGCGTAACACTGTTATTGACAGAAAGTAAGGAAAGATCTAACGGAGTAAGAAGCCCAGGAAAAGGGAATTAAAAGACTGCGATAAATAGATGTTTGCATAATTTTTGACGTGATAATTTTGAAAATTCTCATCACACTTGCAAATGACAAATGATCAGACAGTAGTATACAAAAACTATTTTAATGGTCCAAAAAGCGAAATATTATATAACGACAACAATTAAATTTAATCCAGTAAATCATCAGAACTTATACAATCAACTATAAAACAGACCAGAAGATCATTCTAATTCATTAGCTTATGGAAGTATTTCTTTTTGCAGGAAACCCGATTCCTCAAAATTAATAGCAAGACCAGCTGCAAGTAAATATGATTATATAGAGAAGTAGAGACAATGTAACAGTAAGTACTCAAGAAGCATGACGTTGTTGATACTGATCGGTTTTCTTATTTGAATTTTACCATATGTGGATTTCCTGTTTCAAATGCTCGCATAAATGTATGTGCAAAGGATTGTGACATATGATATGGTATAGGGGCCCTTGATATTGGTCGTGTTGTTCCAATTTAGTAGAATTCATGATGCTAGATGTTGGCAAAGAACATATGACTTATATATTGATAAAATTTATCCATGCCATATGTAATTTAGTTCACATTGATCCATTTCAGTTTACTAATCGAAAGGTGAAAAAGGGGTTCTTGGAAGAACAGAAACATAACGGCAGTAGCATTTGAACACAGAAATGCAAACTTGGTGTCTGAACTAAAATATCCATACTTTTTTCACTATCCCTTTCAACTGATTCAATATACACCCAAATGCATGGGAAAAGAGCTTTAGCGTGAGAGGCAGAGATCCCACAGCTATCAATGCAAAGGTGCTAATTTCTTACCCAACATAATTGACCACAACAATCTAAACAATTATTTGTTGGCAGTATCTAAGAGTGCCAATGGAGTTGGGGGAGAAGGACGTAACTGTAAGTTTGTAACCCAAACTTGATGAACGTAAACCCAACACCAAGATGCAATGTAGCAACATCATCCTGAAATTGAAACACAAGTAACCTCACTAAAGCTCACAAATATGATATTTTGAATGATCAATAAGGAGGAAACCAATTGAGCTCACTAACAACTTTGGTGGTTGAGTAAGTAGAATTGAAGGAAGGAAGGAAGGAAGAAAAAAGCGGCAGATGGAAAGGGAGAGGCAAGCGGCAGCAACGTGGACTTCTGGTCCACGGAGTAGTAATAAATTGTCGATTTCCAGGAGCAGGATTGAGGTGCAGGGGTGAGAAAGAACAGAAAGAAGGAATAAAAAAGCGGTGGCAGAGTAAGGGAAAGGCCGGCGAAGGGGAGATTTCAGGGAGCAGTTGAGATTTTCGGAAACGGGGTTGGACTTGGATAGTGGAGGCACAGAGAGGGAGGCGTTGAGAAATTTACTAATCTCTCCCTCCGCACTGTACGGGTTATTCAGCCGGAGCTGATGTGGCAGAATGAATATATTGACATTCCCTTATTGTATTTTGTAGATGTGTAGATTGTTGCTTTCTAATGTTTATCACATGAAAACAGAAAACAGGAAACGAAAATGGAAGTGAACAGGACCTAATGTTTTCGGTTCATGAAGCTGGGGAGAAAGGAAAGGATGAGTTGTTTGCAGCAAAGTAGAATGGTTATCTTGGGCTTGGAAATAAACGGATTTGAGTATTGGGTTGACAATCAACCTCTCAATCTGTTGAATCTTATTAAGACCGATTTGGGCCAGGACCAGATGGATCCATCTTGAACCTTAATTGCTGAATGTTACACAGGCTTCTGTAGAAATGGAAAAAAAAAATGACTTTGCGGTCAAGTGGTCAACGCAACACACCACACACGTCGTCGTGGTTTCTGGTAACGCGCAAACATAAGGCTTGGAATTTGGAATTTGATTAATCTATCTCCAAGAGAAGTCAAAGGCAATATACAGAAACTTCTGAAATGGTCGCAACTCCGCCGCCCTGACGTGGAAATAGGAATGGAATCTCCTTTACATCTTCATAGTTCAAACTTCATATTTCCTTTTTTTCCTTTTAGCTTCAAGGGCTAAGTAACCCCTCAACTTTGCACCAAAATAAGCAATAATTAATAGCTAATATGTTGTTTTTAGAAAGGAAAAAAAAAGTAGCCAAATGTTTTGAAATAAAATATAAATCAAACTTTTAATTGTTTATCTAGTATCACGAAGACAAATTAATGTTTGAGTTGAAGAAACCTGTTGTGATGTAGAAAAGGTCTATTTTTTTTTTACTATATCGGGTTATGATATATTTTAATGTCGAAGGTTAGAGTTTATTAATAACCTTATCATTGTTAAAGTCCCACCAAATTATAAAGAATATTTTTTTGTCTACGTTCGTCCGCTCCTTCTTCTTCCGTCATCATACTACCATCCCATTGTGGTGCACATACTCTCTCGTCTCTCCCTAATTCTCTTGTGATTCACAAATTTACAGACGACCAGTGACTTCAATTTCTTGAATAACATCAATTTCTACGGAATGACAATGAGACAGATTCGATCGAAAGATCTCTTATTTCGAATATCCAGATTCTCGAAAGATATTGAGATCGTGAGATTTGAAGCCTCGAGAAATTATTCAAATCATAAAATTTGCAGAACCGATTCTTTTCTCCACCTTAAAAAATTATTCGAAATCTCATTTCGACTATTTCTTGATGATCAGCCTTCACCGTCCTAGTGACTTGTTGACAAGTGTTGTTGTAGATGAACATCATCCAAAAGAAAAGTTCATGAAAGAACTCTATATAATATTTTCCCAAATGAACGAAATCAGGAATCTTGAATATGTTTTTCATTTGAAAATCTGTAAAAAAAATCAGTCGAAAGTTCAGTCAAAATAGTTTTGTTAATTCCAAATCTGGCTGGCGGTTGCTAACGAGTAACGAGTAATTAGAAGTTAGAACGCCGAAGAGGAGATGCTGACTACTGGTGAATGGTGATGGGGGAATTTTCTTTTACAGCGCTACCGAACAGTCGGGATCAACAAAAATAACACCATTCTCCATTTCCTTTCTCTTTTCTTCTCATCACGCGTCAACCCCATCCCTCTTCCCAAAAAATACCACCTTCCCCTCTCTTCCTCTGATTTCTCCGAACAAGTCCCCAATTGTCGATCCTTCCTTCAATTGTTGTTGGTGATTCCCGCTTTAGAGCTCAAGGCTAGAGATCCTCTCTAGACTCACCCTTTCGGTAAAACCTCACTGCCTTTACTTTCGTTATTTTGGGTAAAGAAGGGTTCTTTGGCTGTTTTCTGGGCAGGGTTTCTCTCGTTTCTCGTCTTTCGTACGAGGATTGTTGGTGGGTTATGCGTTTGGCCGTTTGGATATCCGATTCAGTTGTTCTAGATCGTTCTGGTCAACCGGGTTGTTATAATTTCCCTCTTCGGGGTTCTTGCTTTGCTTAGTTGATCATTTGCTCTGATTGATGGGTAAGGGTTGGAATTGGCTGGTGTTGTTGCTCAAAAGTTTAGATGCTGGCCATTGTTAGCAACTTTCTAGGATAAAAGTATAAACTTTGCAGAGAACTGATTGTTTATTTCACTTTGGTTGTTACAGGTTCAGTGGAGGTTAGTTCTGGCTTTGATTGAACACACCTGGTGCTGCTAATTATGGCTAATGATGCGGCAGCTTGTGCCGAGAGGGCGACTAGTGATATGCTGATTGGTCCTGATTGGGCTATCAACATTGAGCTTTGTGATATCATTAACATGGATCCTAGGTATTTCCTGATCTCTCAGCTTCTTTTCTGCCCATTTCAGTTCTTAGTTGGACCTCTCTTTCTGGTAGTCTGCTCTGGGGTGTGAGACACTAAGCGGGTGTACTTCATGTCCTAGCAAGTAGGGTTTTTGTTGTTGTTACTGATTGTCAAATGGTTCAGCTTGGGGAGTGATGGAGTTGGCTGTTGGCCATTAATCAAGATGTATCAATTATTGGTTTGATGTTATAGTTTGAGTGCACAATTTTTCTGAACTGCTTTCACATCTTAGCTTGATCAAAGTTCCTGTAACCTCTTTTATGAGATCGACACTGGCAAGAATGGAGTATTTTGTTAGTCTTCTAATTGGAATCCTTTGGAATATGTAGTGAAGACTTGGATTGTTGAGATTGTTTATTGTGAGTTTGCGAGTAGTTGCAGATGCATGGAAGTGTATTCGTTTTTGAATGCTTTGAATGTTAACTTAGACATCAGATGATTGCTTGTAAACAAGATTTGACAGGAGGCTGCAACTCTTATCATATCAATCCTTGTGTTGTTGGTATTATCTTTGATTTGTAGTGATACTTTATGACGTTTCCTATCACCAAGTTGTATTCTAATTTGATAATTTGTATATTAATGCCCAATTTGAATTGTTTTTCCTTGTTTAATGCTTTGACATTGCAGGCAAACAAAAGATGCATTGAAAGTACTGAAAAAGAAGCTAGGCCACAAAAATCCAAAAATTCAAACGCTCTCTCTTTTTGTGAGTATTTGTTCTACCTCTTAAGATCCGCTGGCTTGGCTTGTATTTGTTCAGATTAAATATTCAAAGAACTAAAAGGAACTTCTCTGGTGCCAGTTGTTGAAAATCCGGATTCTGTTTCAGTACTTGTTTAGGCCTGTAATCCTAGCTAGATAGTCCGATATGTAAGCTATTTCTCCCTTATTTTGGTTCAGGCACTGGAGACTCTTACCAAGAACTGTGGTGAGAATGTGTTTCAACTGATAATTGAGCGTGATATCTTGAATGATATGGTTAAGATTGTGAAGAAGAAGGTGAGGGCTTGCCTCTCTGACTGTGATGTCAGCATTTCTCCTGCTTTCTTCTAATAGTCTATTTGTAATAACTGTGTGCCTGTTATTGTGATTCTGCAGCCAGATTTGCATGTTAGAGAAAAGATACTTACTCTGATAGACGCATGGCAAGAAGCACTTGGGGGGCCAACGGCCCGGTACCCTCAGTACTATTCTGCATATAATGGACTAAGGGTAATTATTCTCTTGCGTATTGTTCGTCTTTCATTTAGTGCCTTCCACACATAGTTTTCAGCACAGAATCTTCCATTATTAGCTCTCCCTTCAACCTTGTATCATGGTTCCTGTGTTTTTTTTTATAGCTTTAAATAGCCCTAGCTTAAATTGAGCGGGAGAAAAGCACTGAAATTATCATTCTTAAATGGACAGGCTGCTGGGATTCAATTCCCACCCAGGGAAGAAAATAGTGTGCCACTGTTCACTCCTCCCCAAACACAGTCAATAGCACCTCCACCTGTTGCGTATGAAGATGCTGCAATTCAGGCATCTCTCGAGGCTGATGATTCTGGTCTTAGGTACACTATCTACATGATATAGCAGTTGTATTTTCTTCACATGCCATGCTTGCTTTTCCTCATGCAAGTATGGAGAGCTGCTTCTACCTTCCATGCATATGATTTTCAAACTCCAATTTTGATGGGAAAATATTTCTTTGGCCTTCCCTTTAAAATTTGTCTCCGGCGTTTCTTTAACATTTATTTTTTACCTTGCCTTTTATTTTTTTTTTCCTGATAATTTTATCACATTTTGAATGATTGACTATAGTTAGGTTTACTTTGAAATTGTGATTTCAGCTTACCCGAGATTGAAAATGCTCGTGGCGTAGCCGAAGTATTAATGGAAATGCTTAGTGCCTTGGACCCTAAGAACCCTGAGGTAAGAATTGGATTCGATATTTGCTGATTTGGAACGTGTAATCGGTCTGCACTTCTCAAGATGGATAAATGTCTCCTTATTTTGTCCTGAATCTTGGATTATTTTAAAGTATTGTCCATGACCATCTTATCAAATCAAGTCTTAACTTTTCATATTGTGTCCTGAATCCTTGAACAGCCAATGCTTCTAGGGAAACATGCCTTGATCACTATTGTTTTAGAGAAGCTTCCATGTTGTAGTTGCACTCTTTTCTTTTTTTCTTTCATGTTCTCATTTCATCCCATCTTCATTACATCCTTACATAGTCATAAAACCTGTTAAACTCAATCCAGCCTCGGGGATTCTGGGCTCTCAGTGACCTATGTTTCTTTCTGCTGGGGAACCTGGGATTTTACTTTCGTAAGTGTTGGCTGGGTTTCTCTTGTACTGTCAAATCCATTTTGGCATCTGTTTGAGCATTTTGTTTCATACTAGCTAAAAAAAAAAATTCTTCCTTTTGTGGATTGTTTCAGAAATGTTGGATTTTTTCTAAAATGGTGAATTTGATGACAGGGTTTGAAGCAAGAATTGATCGTTGATCTCATTGATCAGTGTCGTTCCTATCATACACGAGTAATGCTTCTTGTGAATAACACAGCGTAAGAACTAACAAAATCCTCATTTCCTTCTCATTGCATTGCTCTGTTACTACTATGCTGACATTGCTCGTGACACAATGGTCTTCTAGGGACGAAGAACTCCTTGCACAGGGACTGGCATTGAATGATAACTTGCAGCGCGTCATTAGCCGCCATGATGATATTGCCAATGGAACTGCTGCTCAAGTTGGATCTCAAAAGACAGAAGCCCCATTGGTGCCACTTGTTAATGTTAACCACGAAGATGATGACTCAGATGATGATTTCTCCCAGTTGGCTCATAGGTGCGTATGTTTACTTTATCCAAAATGGCCCATTGGACACTGGAAAACTTGAGACTGAGATCGAAACAATTTAAAGGTCATTTGAATGTAGTTTTTTATTATTAAAAAAACCCCTTTCTGGGGTAGCAGAAAACGATATCAAGTCCGGGATTTGGAAATCCATGCGCTGTACGAATTATAGAAACCCATCGTTTGAGAAGGGTTTCCTGAATCCATCCGTAATATTGTCTATTTTCTGCTCATGTTTTTTTGCTTATTCCAAATCGTTATTCACCCTGCACTGATATATTTCGGCCAGGTTGTTAAGGTCGTTTTGTGTGATCAATCATTTTGATAACCCTATATCCAAAACTATCCTTATCCTAACTAGCCTATGTCTCAACTGCTTTTGTTTCCAGATCATCGAGGGAGAACTCGCATGGACAAGGCCGGAAGCCAGCCAGTGTCAGGACGCCGCCACGTGGTGCCACTCCATTCCTCGCTCCACCACCTTCATCGAAGAAGCCGGTGAGCTCAGAGGCTGCCGCGGTTGACTATCTCAGCGGAGACCTGTATAAATCTGAAAGAGGATCATCCCTCGACGACACATTAGAACCACCACCTTTCTCTGTGCCAGCTCATCTCAGACCGCGCTCCTCCTCCCCTCCATATTCCCCTACGTCATCTCCTCCACGGCCTCCACCTCCTCCGCCTTTTCTAAATTCCACACCTCCCATGTTTGCCGGAAAGCCCATATTTGACGAGCCAGCTCCGCGGAGCAAATCTCCTGAGCAGCTACCTCCAGCTCCATGGGAAACACCATCTACTGTAAGTCTTCCACCCCCACCCGCCAGGCATAATCAGAGACAGCAATTTTTTGATCAAGCTGGTGGAAGTAGCGGTTCTGGTTCGTCTTATGACAGCTTAGTTGGTCAAGCTCAGAACTTGTCTCTGAATTCGTCTACTACACCGAAGAAGGATGCGAAGCCAGAGGATGTCCTGTTTAAAGATCTTGTTGATTTTGCGAAAGCGAAGTCGTCGAGGCCCCCCAGCGATAGATCATTTTGAGGTGTGATGGCTTTATTGGTACAGGTTGAGATTACTACTTTCATAGGCACCCGGGTTTCACCCCTTTAGTTCGTTGAGATTGATGTGACTTAATAAAAAAGGCTGGTTCAAGCTTTTGGTACATGTATGGTGAGTAAGGTCTTGTTAGTCATCGGGATCTGAGGTTCATAATAGGTGAAGAGTAAACTGCTGCGTATTGCATTCATTCCTAGTGCATGTTTACTCTTTGACTGGATTCGTTCTATGTATCATATTCTTCTGCTCTTTGAATCCTTTTAATGACTTTCTATAAACCCATTAAGCTTTCTGTGCTCTATGTTGCTAGATGTTCTAACTTGTTAGCATATAACCGTGGTTCTTAACACAGTCCATGCATGTGGTTTTCAAGTTTTGATTGTCACTTGCAATGCCTCGCACCTGCAACTAGGGATGGCAATTTTGCCCATACCCATGGATATTTTACTATCCAACCCAATTGGATTGGGTATGAAATCCAAATATATGGATATGGGTAAAGTTTGATGGGTTTGTACCCATACCTATTTACTTTGGGTTGGGTTGGGTTTATAACAAATGGATTTGGGTTTGTACCCATGCCCAACTACAAATTACAGTTTGGTACCTAAACTTAATAGATATGCATATTTAGTACCTAAATTTATTTTTTTTGCATATAAGCCCTCAAAATATCGATGGAAAATTACGTTTTGGTACCTAAATTTTTTTGGTCTTACAATTTGGTACCTAAACTTTTCAAGTTTTTACAAATAGGTCCAATTTTTGCATGTGTAGTTAAAACACACTCAAGTAAATGGATATCCATATCCAACCCATACCCATTTAGATAATATCCATATCTAACCCAAACCCATATACAAACCCCAAACCCATACACACATCACCCAAACCCTACCCATAATAAATGGATCTACTTGGGTTTGGGCAAAATTACCCATGGGTGGGTAAATTGCCATCCCTACCTGCAACAACAATGTCTCGCGCATGTGATGTCGACAACTCCAGAAATCACCAAACTGCAGCTCGTGCTGGCGATGCAGGATCGATGGACTCCAGACCAGAGCGGGTGGTAATTGTGAGAGAAGATGATATTGAAAAGACCGGATTGAAGGATAAAGTATTTTACTAAACAATTCCAATTTAAGTGGGTTGTTTCTCTTACGCCAAACAAATAATATATACCAAATTTAAAAGAAGGTGCTAGAATTAAGGCCGGCGTTGAAATTTGGTCTTGTCTTGCAGCTAGCTCGTTTAGGCAGCCTGAATGCTAGAAGCAAAAATAAAATTTTGTATTAAATGAAGAATGAAATAACAATTTCCAACACTTGTCACCTCACTGCAAATGAATAATAAGTTACGTAACACTTAACAACATGAAAATAAGCTTACAAGTACATAGAATTATAGAGAAAATGAGCTTACAAGTTCATAGAATCATAGTTCACTGGTTCACATACTTCTTTAGCTATTGAAAAGATGGGTTTAGATTATTGAGTTTGCACTTTGTAGATGTTGTTAGTTTCTCCCATTTGTTACTGACTTCCTAGCTTCATCTAATTATGCATCGACGATATTTACTATTGTCTTACTTACATCATTGGCAAATAAATGTCACCTTTCTCTGTCAACATAGTATTAATACCTAATACGCTGCATAACCTCTGGACGAGGTGTTTTGAGATTGCCTAACACCTAAACATAAAATTAAGAGCGCCTTTTCAACCATGAGATATAAGTACAAATATTATAGCAATATCACTGAAACAATATTTATTGTATCCGGTAGAAAAGGCAACTCTTGTAGTCTGCGGCGCAAGTTGCGTTTAAACTTTACACAAATGATTGATTAATTAGTAAGCCAAAACAGGGCAAGCAAACAGTAGCTGGGTTTGGACTTTCCATGAAACCTAAGGCGCCTACCGGTAAACATAAATTTAAAACAACAAAACACAGAGCGGCAGAAACCGCAATCCGCCATGGTTTCCATAACCGGTTTCCCCCATTTCTTCTCCTCTCTCTCAAGGATGGCTGACAAGAGCATACTTCCGCTCCACGGTCAACTGCCTTCCCACTTTCTCCCACCATATAAATACAAACCCTTTCCCTCTCTTCATCTCGCCACCATCAACAAACACAACCAAAAAGCCAATTCTCAATCCATTCAACTGTTTCCACATTCAAGTACACCAAAGTTCTATTGAAACAGAGCCATGTCGAGCACCAAGGGTCAAGTCATTCGCTGCAAAGGTAACAAATTTCGTTAAAAGGCTCATTTCTTTCGGTTCCTCTGTTTCCCCTGTTTTTTGGGTTCCTCTGTTTTTTTTCGGCAATCAATCCAATTGAACGAAAATAACCGACCAATTTCTTGGTTTTAAAATTTCCACAGCTGCGGTCGCTTGGGAGGCAGGGAAGCCATTAGTGATCGAAGAAGTGGAAGTCGCACCTCCACAGGAGAATGAAGTTCGCATCAAGATCCTCTTCACCTCACTCTGCCACACCGATGTCTACTTCTGGGAAGCGAAGGGCCAAACCCCAATGTTCCCTCGAATCTACGGCCATGAAGCTGGAGGGTATTTACCCACAAGAATTAACAGCCAGATTTTCGAACTGATGATCACATCTCATATCTTGTCTTACCAAGCTCTGTTTTTTTTAACCATGCTCTGTATTTTTTTCCCCCCCTCAGGATCGTGGAGAGCGTGGGCCCCGGAGTGACGGACCTGGCTCCCGGGGACAAAGTTCTGCCGGTGTTCACCGGGGAATGCAGAGAGTGCCGTCACTGCAAGTCCGAAGAGAGCAATATGTGCGATCTTCTCAGGATCAACACCGACCGCGGAGTGATGCTCGCCGACGGCAAGTCCAGGTTCACCATCGACGGCAATCCGATTTACCATTTCTTGGGGACCTCTACCTTCAGCGAGTACACCGTCTGCCACGTTGGCAGCGTCGCGAAGATCAACCCCGACGCGCCTCTCGACAAAGTCTGCGTCCTCAGCTGCGGTATCTCTACAGGTAACATTTCTTTTCTTTTCCCCCCCAATTTGACGTTGAGCAGATTGATTAGTAGAAATTGAATTGGAACCAAATTTTTTGTTTTTTTGTTGGAGTTGAAGGTCTTGGAGCGACTTTGAACGTTGCAAAGCCAAAGAAGGGACAGTCAGTTGCCATCTTTGGGTTAGGAGCAGTGGGCCTTGCTGTAAGTTTTTCCTGACATCGAATAGCTACACGTTAATACGATTTTGTCCGGTTTGAGCCGTGAAAAAAGTCTTTTCCGCAACATCAATGAATCCTTGTTCTGTTTTGTAGGCTGCTGAAGGTGCAAGGCTTTCTGGAGCTTCCAAGATTATCGGGGTAGATTTGAACACCAGCAGATTCGAGCAAGGTAACATATGTTTCAAATTAGAAGAGAAATCATAAGACTGTATTTAGTTATTCTTCATACTAATTACCGTTCATGTTATATGAACAGCCAAGAACTTCGGTTGCACAGACTTTGTGAACCCGAAGGACCACGACAAGCCGGTTCAACAAGTGATCGCTGAGATGACCGGCGGAGGAGTCGATCGCAGCGTGGAATGCACAGGAAGCGTGCAGGCCATGATCTCCGCATTCGAATGCGTTCACGATGTACTGAGTAGAAACAATCCACAGACTTCAATTTCACATACCAAAATTTCCCCCCTGTTTCGTTCTTGTGGGTATGATCATATAATTTTACGATGTGACTGCACAATTTTTTGGCAGGGATGGGGAGTTGCTGTGCTAGTGGGCGTCCCGAACAAGGACGACGCCTTCAAAACCCACCCGGTGAACTTCCTGAACGAGAGGACGCTGAAGGGGACCTTCTTCGGCAACTACAAGCCTCGGACCGACCTTCCTTCCGTTGTCGAGAAGTACATGAACAAGGTTAGGCAGAGTGCACAACAACTAATTCGTAAGCCGGAAGATCGATCCGCGGGGAGACTTGATGACAATTGTTGTGTTGCTGATTATATTGTAGGAGCTGGAAGTGGAGAAGTTCATTACTCACTCGGTGCCCTTCTCCGAGATCAACAAGGCGTTCGAGATCATGCTGAGGGGAGAAGGGCTGAGGTGTATCATTCGCATGGAGGACTAGACAGGGACGAAGAACAGAGAAACAGAGAGTCCATTGAACATTAATATGTGTTGTTATTGTTGGAGTTCAACTGGTTGGTTTCTGGATTTCTTTGTGTATGTATGGAGTGATTCTGTCTTTTTTTTAAGTACTCTTGTTACTGTTATGCTTAGTGGACGTTTTCTACACATCTTTAATTATCGAATAAGGATTATCTCTAGTTCTTTCATACATCTGCTTTTTTTTTCTATACAGGACTTAATATTTTTACCTTATGAAATCTTGTGAAATTTTTTTTTTTTTATAGAAATCTTGTGAATTGAGGAAATGTTTCTAACCGAGAGCGAGTTGGTGTCACAGGTTCTTGTGCAACCTCTCTTATCCTTGAGGTAACAATTTGTTCGTAATGAAGTGAAATCGTAGAGGGCTTACCGATTCTCATTCATCTCTTAGCTGAAATTAAATACTCAGCAATGGCCACTACAGGACACAGGTGGTTCATTGCTAGTGTTTTGTTCTTTAGCTTGAAGTAGAAACAAGTACAAAGCTTGGCTGAAAAGTAAAGTGTCCATAGACAAAAACGACTTCGTATTAAAATCAATAACCGAGTAACCATTTATCACCCCCTAAACAAAAACTAGCTAGCAAAATGTGGGTTTTTCTCTTTGAAGAATTTTTACCGTCATAATTAATTAATGAGACCGACCATTCATGTGTGTACGTAGTACGTTTGAGAAAACGCATGCACACTTTGGAGGAAAGCTGGACTTAGTGAAGCAAACAAGCAGCCCAAAAGCCTCCCAGCAAAACCCTCGTGTTGTCGTCTACAACTCGTCTTCTGGCCTTTCCTAATCACCGCCATTAATTAACACACTAATCACCACTTCCGTTCACGTTTTAAGCCACTCCCCCCCGCGTCACATTAATCACCCCCTAACCACCATCAGCGTTACTCCGCCTCTCCCTATATAACCCACAAACCAAAAACCCTTCACTCACCCACCCAAACACCACAAACCCAAAAACCCAAATCAACCCAATCAAGCTACCCAGCCATGGCCGCCGCCGCCGCCGCCTCGAAGATCGACAGTTCCCCGGCCGCGGCCGTCCTGCTCATGATCACAGCACTGGCAACAATTGGGTGCGCGAACGGGCAGGAGTGCGCGGGGGACATGCAAGGCGTGATCGTGGAGTGCGCCCGGTTCGTCCAGAAGACCGGACCGGTCACGAACCCATCGCCGCAGTGCTGCAGCGCCCTCAGGACGCTGGACATCCCTTGCCTCTGCTCCCGGGTCCCACCCGAGCTCACCGCCATCGTCGACATGAACAAGGTCTTCCACGTGGCGTCCTTCTGCGCCATCCACCTCCCCGCCGGCACCAAATGCGGAGGTCAGTACTACTATCGGGTTTTCTGATTGGAGTGGTAAGAAAGCTGTTAGGGAAATGAAATAGTGATGTAATTCTCGTTGTGTTTAATTTTTGCAGCTTTCGCAGTTCCGCCGGCCGCTGCTTGAGAGAGAGACGGCTATTATGTGGTTCGATGCCCGACGACGACGAATAATAATGAATGGGCTGTCAGTTATGTGTCATAGATATAGCATGTGACAACAAAGACAATTTGAAATTGATGGAAGCTATATATGATTTTTGTCTTGGTAGCATTGTGGAGGATTTTCTTAATTCAGAGATGAGCTTATCTAATACAACATAAGGGTATTAATATGGTGGTGGTACTTAATTAAGGTGAAACTTTTAGGGTAAAAATTGACATAGGTTAGCTGTTCGATCAGAATTAAAGATTTTGAATGGGAAGTTTAACAAAAGGAAAGTTTTTTTTTTTGTCATAGATAGTTCGTAATAGATAGGGTGTTACAATACGGTGAAAATGAAAGAGCGGTAGTCAACCAAAAGGGTTGCTACCGATGCAAGGGCCGTGTATGCCACGCAATGGGCAGCCCTGTTAGTATGCCTAGAAACATAAAAAAAACAAATAAACGCAAAGGAAGTCTTCTTGCGGCAAACTTCTTGAAGCACCAATTTGGCGAGTACAAACTCCACGTCTCTTATAAGCCGAGTTCCAATAGACTAGATATATAGATTTGACGTGCAAGATATATACCTGCAAAAAAGAAACACATAATCGACCCCTTAAAGGACAAAACAAAATTCAAATGCTATCGGATCTCCACTAAAGATGCTCTACAAGTCATATGAGGTACTGCGTTTGAATGCGGTTAGAACCCGCGTTTAGAATGGTGACAACCGCCGTGGAATTGTAACCATCCAAAGCAATATCGTGGGGTGTAAGTGCACCAACAAATGCAACTGTACCACCATAGATTCGCCGTCCGCCGAAAACTTGTCATCATCAGAAAGACTCGTTCACCGGCAGGCTAAAGCTCCTTTAAAGCCCTACAAAAAGTTAGTAAAAGAAATCATGGCTGGAGGCTAGTCCAGGATGGAAACGCCTCCTCCCTCAGATCTACACACCCCTGCATCTGCTCCCGCTCCGATCGAGTCCGACTGGAATAATCCTCCGCTGCTCCGACTGTCCGGCTGTTTCTTTTCTCGTTCTCTCTCCCTGAAGCAACTTGCATCGCGTTCAACTGCGCTTAACAAAAGGAAAGTTGGATATGCAATTATAGTAGAACCCAATTTTGACGTGAAATAGATTGCAGGAGTTATCTAGATCAGTTGGGTTATAACATAGTATTATACATTTTGTTCGATCGTGAGGTCAAGTGTTAAAATCATCACGTGGATCAATATTAATACTTAATTTCAATTACATGGTATGACGTATAAACTTCCAGCTCTTGGATCTGATTTTGTTTGAGGGGACGTGTAAGAAAGTGATAAAAATTCATACATGCACCTCTCTTAATAACTCGCATTATCGGACTAGCTAATTGGTGTATGTAAAAGAAAATATTCGATCGGAACACATAAACTTACCAACTTATTATTCCTTCAAAACGATTGGGTACATAATATGACGATACATATATCATTATTCATTAGCCTTTTATTGTTAGTCCCCAATCGATATGACGCCAACTTATGGGCCGGCGACTCGTTTTGGTTCGGATGACAGTAAAGAAGACATCGCCGGCAGCTGGTCAGTGCTATTACCACGGAGGATTGCATCGGCGGCGAACCTGTTGGGGGCGTCCGAGGGAAGACAACAGCAACATCGAATAGTTTTTGGCGGCCGGCAACAATTTAACCCATCGGGATTGAATTCTCTGATAGCACTAACCACGGCCGCAGTGGCCAAGAAAGCACAAAAGAAAAGAGCCAATGTTCGCAGATTTAAACCCATCTTAGTAGTATTATTTTTTTCTTCAAGAAGTTGTGCACGCTGCTTAGGGTTTTTTTTTCCTTCTTTTCTTCTTCTTTGGATTGTGTACTCTTATTTCATGAAAAACAAACATATATATAACCCGTCTAAGAGCACTAATCATGTGACTAGAAAAAGGAAACTCAATCTGTATATATGGGAAAATAATAAATGTAAAAGAATGTTCAATGAAGGGTAAATTATATATGGAAGTTTCATGGAAAAAAAAAAAAAAAAACATATATGTAACGCATCTAAAAGCTAATTTGAATAATCATGTGATAAGGAAACTGAATCTGTATATATGGAAACATAGTAATGAAAATAATGGTCAAAGAAGAGTAATTATATTTGGGATTAATTAGTAAATAATAAATTGACCTTACTAGCCAATTGGCCAAGTGTTTGGTCACATGCATAAACATCAATTAAGTGGTCATATTTCTATATGTAATGATATGCTTATTTTTTTTAACAAACTATGATTGCTTCATTCATACCAGATAGAGATACAAGTAAGATACAGTTAAATGAGATTGAGATTCTCGGTAAGATAAAAACGTTCAAATTATTCAAAAAGTGTCATTTATGTCCTAAATTATTCAATATGACAAATCTGGCACAAACTATTTTTTTCGTTAATTTTGACGGGCGTTGGCAGTAAGAATTTAACAGAAAATCTAGTCAACATTGACGTGACATCTGACATAGACACTTTTCATATAGTTTAGGATACAAATGACACTTTTTGGATAGTTTAGGACACACATGTCACACAATACATAAACTTCGGCCCAAATTTGTCATATTAAACAGTTTAGAACACAAATGACACTTTCTGGATAGTTTTAACTTTCTAGTGAAATTAGCCAAAAAATTGTAATGCAATCTTGTGAGTGATGAGTGAGCATGTGACCAAGTGACCAGTCATCTATAACATTAAAGAAATTCAAGGCAACCCTGATGAAACTATCTAGTTGAACAAAGATTATTTCGCATATGCCACTCGATGACAATCAATTCTTCTTTGAGAGGCCAATATTCCCCCTAAACTGAAGGTGTTTGTCTGGCAGATCCTTAATCGGGCCCTTCCTACTACAGAAGCTCTCATCGAACGGAAGGTCCAGGTGCATCCCTGTTACCCGGTTTGCTGGGATAGTTCTGAAACGCTGGGGCACCTATTTCTCTATTGTCCGGTGGCGCGGGCCCTCTTGGATTACTCGGGCTTGGATTATCTGGGGGAGGGGTTGCCTCGTCAGACTTTTCCTCTTTTTCTTAAGCGGCTCTTGGCTTTGATTAATCAACCTACCTTGTTTATGGCGGTGGTGGCCATCCTCTGGAGGATCTAGCATTCTCGGAATTGGGTGGTCTTTGAAGGCAAACAATTCGGGATCCCTGTGTGGATGCGCTAGTTTATCCAAAAATATGAGGAATGGGTAAGTTTGCCCAATCATCGCGTCTTGCGGGCTCCCCCAACTGAGCCTGGGCAGCAGGGCCCTGTTGGAGCCCCTCGGATGGCGTGTAGGTGAGACGGGGTCACTAGGCGTGGGTCCCATTCGGCTGGAGGAGTGGTTTTCTTCCACCCTAATGGGGAGGTCAGCATGGTTAAGGGGTTTCAGTTTCCGATCATTGATGACCCCCCTGGTGGTGGAATTACTTGTGCTCAGAGAGGTTGTGTTATGGTGTCTGGGGCTAGGCCTCACGGACATTGGGTTTGAAGGCGACGCCAAAGTTATCATCGACAAGATCAATCGGGGTGACCTCTGTGACAACATGATGGGTGCTGTTCTTGAGGAGCTTGCGCATTATTTTCACATCCATTCGGGGTTTAGTATTCGGTTCGTAGGTCGGCGTAGTAATAGGGTAGCCCATATGGTGGCGAGAAAAGTCCTCTCTTTGTATCCGACCATGATTCGTTTCTTTGATTTTCAGACCTGCTGATTTCCAGGGTGTAACTGTCTCTTCTTTCAATCAATATAAGATTATCTTTTGTCAAAAAAAAAAGACAATCAATTTGCAGTGCTTATCACTTATATTTGATACATTGTTTTTCCTTCAATGCATCTTTAGTACTTTCTATTATATTTTATATCTAAATCACAACTATTTAATCAATGGGCATTAGATAGACCTAGGTTGTGTTTTTATATTCTTTTGCTTTCTTGGTATGTTTTTGTGGTTTTCAAGGTAAAATATAACATAGGAGAATTTGGATCAAACATTGGATGATTATGGAGAATCTAAGGAGCAAAAGAGAGAAGAATATGGATTTTCCATGTTGACAAGGTCCAATGACAAAGAAACCTATTGGGAACCAATATAGCCCAATAGAGGAAGACTCGGCCCAAACCAGATCAAGAACCAATGGCGGTCTTGTGTCGGGTCTTATAGCCGCCAAAGTATACGTAGTCAAATCATAGAGAAATCTTCAGGGATGTTGCTTATGTGCCAAGGGGCTCATCCCACAAAAAACCCAATGGCGGTTCCAACTGCCACTCCAAGGCCCAAGCCCAAATAAACATCGATCTTTAGATCATGCTTCAGCCCAAAGTCATAGAGAGACCTTGTCCTAGTAGGGTTAGGACTTATGAAGGGTTTGGTTGTGTTCTACCTCCATAAATAGGGAGCTAGACTCATTAGTTTAGTAGGCTGCACAATTCCATTCAAAACTTCTTTAGACACTACATGTTTTAGTGAGAGCTTATTATTAATTTGTGTTTATTTTTTATTTTTTTTGGGTGATGTGTCAAGTTGACTGGACTAAACTAACGGTTTTCGGGATGAAAATGGGCGGAATAACCATTTTGGTATTCATCCAAAGATGTTTTACTAAAATGTACAAAATTAAAATTTTGTTACAGTTTTGTACAAAGTGAAAAGTTGTCAGACCATTTAGGATAACTACTCGTAATTTACATGGAGAGGAACCCTGTCTCAATGTTTGTTTACAATACCAACCTCGTCACCAATTGGAACTTTAAACCAACCAACATATAATTCAAATCAACTACAGCTTTTGATTCGACCATCAGTATCTAACCATAAAAGAAATTGCCAAAAAGAAACAAAAACATGAAATTAAATGGGATTTACAAACATCCTACCAATAACACCGTAAAAAAAGAAGGTTTGTTCCTTTGTGTACATTATCATTTCTACCGTATATGTCTCACTACAAGTATCTGTAGCATACTATGCTTCTGAAGCATACGAGTTTGATCCAAATAAATATATATTATTGTAAGAGATGAGCCAACCCTCTCAAAAATGTACAGCTGCTTGGTTTTTTTACCGTTACTGTCCATTTATTCTCAATCTGCTACTTTGCCCTTGCTAGAGAAAACGAACAGGCAGCAAAGACCACTTCTCCGCCTGCATCATCGTCAACACCAATTCAATCAGAATAGTCACTCAACATATAATACCAAACCCAGTTGAAGAATATTGAAAAAAAATAAGAAAATATCATCATAATTCGCAAACTCACAACCGAGTTTCCGAAAAATATTTTCCAGGTTCAAGACTATTATCACTAGACCAAGTTCTTCTTCATCTAATGGATGGTGAATCTTGCTACAATGCTGAACATAAAGATGCATTAAACACTAGTGGCCACAATGTGATGTTAGTCGTCCAACACGTACGAGAGTAATATTATCCGAGACTACAATGTGTTGAATGGTTGAGATCGTTGGAGAAGTGTTATTCATTAACATCAATTTCGTGAATATCTATTTCATTCAACCATTTAATTAATCTATATATTTGGTTACTATATCATCGAAGAAATGGCTTTTTTGTCAATGACATTATCGTCCAACCACTACCAGGAACATCCTCACATCCTCAACGATGCACTAAACTCGAAAATTATAGCCTAATTGTCGATCGAATCATCACCTCTTAAGAAGTCCTTGTGTTGCAGCACTTTTACAAACAAAGTGTTGATCTAGCATTAGTGTATTAGTATTACTGTTGGTCTCCAACCTAATAGTGTTAGATTCGAATTTCTTAACTAATACTGCTCGTAACAATAAAAATAAAATCTATCTAATAATGTCACTCTTAAGCAAATTTACAAACCGACTCCAAATCCCCTGTTTCACAGAGATTCTGCCGCAGTTCAAAAGATTAGTGACGGCAAGCAATCCCGTCACCGAAAAGAAAAGGCGGCGATAAATAAAGTTAATTCCAGGGGTTTTCAGTTTTTCAGGAACAAACCTGCTGCCATTTCTTCTGCCATTGCCGCCTCTACTGCCGTTGCTACCGCGGCTGCTTTTGGAGCTCCGGCTGTTGTTGCTATTACTGCTGCTGCTGAATTCTGCCGCGCTTTCGCAGCTCTCCCCTGCCTCCGCCTCCACCACAGAACAACCTTTCCACCAGTGCCTCTCCGCGCCGCCGCCTTTGCCAGCCGTCGCCGGAGCTGAAGATCCATTCACCAACAGAGGCCTCGGCGAAACCCTTCCGTCCTTCGGGCTCCCGCCCGAGACCGAAGCCCCCGATCCGTCCTTCCCCTGCTTCCTCTGCTTCTTCTTCTTCTTGCTCCTCGATCTCAGAGAATACACCGGATAACCCATTTTCAGCAGAAACCCACCGTTGTCCAGGCTCCCACTTCTGGTCATCTTCGCCGCTGCCGGATTATAACCCTTCTCGCCGACATCGCTCTTCTTCTTCTTCCCCAATTTCACCTTCCGATCAATCTCTCCCCCGTCGTTGATCGAATTCGAATTTCTCTCTTCCTGCTGATCAGGATCGATTCCGATTTGTAGCTGGTGCTCCACGAGATCCTTCAGGGAAAGCTCGTAGCAGCCTTCGGGCATTCGATTGACCATCTCCATCAGCTCCCTCTGTCCTCTGGCGATTGCTTGAGCTCTTGAAGCAGGGGAGAGGCTCTGGTAATGGTTCTCATTGCCCGACCCCTGCCTCGCCGGCGCCGGCGAGGCAGGGCAGTCGGCGGTTCGCCACAGAGGAGGGGTGGAAGCTCCCGATGAGTAATTGGCTTCATCGTCGTTGACCAGCCTGGATTCTTCTGCACAGCTGGAAGGATAGCTCTCCAGCGCCGCCGCCGCCGTGGTCCGCCGGGTTCCGCCGTACTCGCCGTATAATTCCCCAAACGTCATCGCCGGAGGGGTAGAGAGAAACGAAAGTGGAACTGGGGGATTGAGGAATAGTGGAGGAAGTAAAAGGAATTGGGGGATGTGGTTCACAATTATTTGGTTGGTGAGAGGGAAAGATCAGTTGGGTAGACAAAATTTGGAGGAAGGAGGAATGATGATGATGACCATGATGAAGAAGAGGATTTTAAAGTGGAGAAGGGATTATAGTATTTATTGATGATGTCATTTTCTTGGTGAGCAATTGAGGACAAACAAAAGGTTCAATTATCCATTTGGTCACTGTACTTACCTATATTTGTAAAGAAGTGATTAAGTATTATTAATTATACATGAACTTCTCACAATACAACGACTCGAGTTATTGGAACCAGTTGGTTTACTAACATGGTATAAGAGCTGGTTTGTAATTGATGGTATGTGTTTAAGTCCTCATGGTCCCTAATTTATCCATTGTCTTTAAAGCACATGGTATGGCCGGTCTATACAAAGTTCAAGCCCAAGACTTGACTTTCGTTTGAGAAGGCGTGTAAGGAAGTGATTAAGTATCATAAATGGACATCTTCCAACAACTAGAGTTATTGGGACCAGTTGGTTTATGACAATATTTGTCATATCCAACATTGAAACTCAACTAGGAGATGACCATAGTACCGAATTATGAGGAAATAACAAAGAGTGATATGTGTAGGAAAAAATGGTAACTTAATTGCACCATATCTTGGTTCGAGTTGGCAACGATTCAATCGATGTTTCTGTTAGGGCAGATCGGATACTAGACTCAATTTCAGTTCCATGAGTCCTTTTTTTTTATAAATAAAAAGATACATAACTGAATTGAAATTGGATACGACATTTTAGTTTATTCTAATGTCCTCATTCATCCTTTACCTTCAGTTCATTCCATTACCAATTCGGTTTGATTCTAAACTCGATCTACTAACGTCATTGCTCGCCTCCATTAATTTGAATTTGGTATATATAACACATATAGCTAAGTTCAGGCAACCACATTCCAAGAGAAGAATCAATTAAATTTAGAGAAGATCAGAAGATTGATAGCAATAACACAGTCTAGAAGAGTTTGATGTTTTAGTTGCCTTCCATACATGAGCTCACTCACTCACCAACATAGTAAGTTAGTAAAATTACCCATATTGTTAAGTTGGGTGAGCATATTAGCAATTGTATCCTAGGGGGGGGAAAGTGGGTTATGGTGGGGAAGGAGCTAAAGGATTTTTTTTTTTTTTTTTTTTTTTTGCCAAAAGATAATCGATATATTGATCAGAAAAATAGGTAACTACACCCTGGAGCTGAGCCAGGCCAGAAAATTAAAGTAACGACTCGTAGTCGGGTACAAAGAAAGAGCCTTTCTAGCCACCAAGTGGGCTGCCCTATTACTACGCCGACCTACAAACCGAACAGAGAACCCTCCCATCGAACCAAAGACCCCAACAATTTCCTCCAGAAGTGCCCCCACGCTACTATCCCTCGTATTAACCCGAGCAATCTTTTCAATAAGCACCTTGGCATCCCCCTCAAAACGCACCTCCACAAACCCCGAGTCACGGCACCAGAGAACAGCTTCACGAAGAGCAAGAGCTTCAGCTACCAGGGGATCATCAATGCCTGCGAACTGAAAGCCTCTGGCTATTAGATTGTTTCCCAGGTGATCCCTGACCACCATCCCCCGGGAAGGAGCTAAAGGATGGAGGAGCGGATTTGAGGGTTTCGTGAAAGTCAAGGTTGTTCTAGATGGAGGAAAGTAAAGAAAATGAAAATGGTGGGCTTATTTCATTAATTACGTTGTGAAACGAGGGTCCCTCTTCCCACGTTTTCCTGTTTTTTTTCCATATAAATATACGTTCTCGTTGGAAGCTGGGTGATTTGTTTAGTTGTTTACACCAAATCAATCAATCAATCAATCATATCTGCGGCCAGATCGTTAATTAAGAAGGATCTCTCTTCTCTATTAAGTTAGGGCCACACGTGGCAGATCCTTGTGTTTTTTCTAGGTTTTCCCTTCGGCGCAAAATGTTTTAAAATTTACAACTTAGCCACTAACTCTACGGGGTTAATTGCATAAATTGTCTTTCTATTCTTGCACTTTGTCAAACCTGCCACCTCCAGTTATGTTTTCCATTCAAATTCTGTTAATCATGATCAAATCAGATTTCATTCAAGATTAAATTCTCCTTTTACCCCATTTCTTGTCCTTTTACGATTTCCCCCCAAAAAATAAAAATAAAAAAAATTATGAGTTTTGTTTTCACGGGGATACTTAGCCAGCCCCCTAAATAAAATCAATTGGACCCAAACCTAGAAAGAAAAAAATTCACCTTTCCTTCTTCAAGATCTGAAATTCACCAACTGTGAATATGATAATAGAAATCAAGAAAATAGTTGTCGCAAAGGCAACAAGGATCTTGATTTTCTGGTGAAACGTTATGTTTCTAACAGAAATATATAGGGTTTATATGTAAACATGGCATTCACTCACCCTACTATACTAGATCCACGTATTTTATCGAGATTTCCAACAGTCGAGAAATTTGAGCAAGACCATTGTAAATTTGTAATGGTCGATAGTGAAAGGAAAGATATGATACATCCATGAGGCCAGACAAGGGGCTGAGATCAGGTGACTAAGGGGGTCCCCTTAGTCACATGGTTAAGTGAATCTCAACCACCCAACCTCATTAAAATCTAAGGGCTCCTATTAATCCAATTTAATGAAGGGCACTGTAGTAATTACATGTTTAATTTTACTTTTAATTAATAAAATGAAAAAAAAAATAGGCCCGCCGTCCGCGTCGGCCCCGTCCCTTGCGCCGCTTCGTCTCCGTCCAATTCCCTGGGCAGAGAATTCTTCTCCCCTCCGCCATTATTCCCTGGAATTCCCAGAGAGAGAGCCGTCCAATTTCCTGGGCAGAGAATTCTTCTCCCCTTCGCCATTATTCCCTGGAATTCCCAGAGAGAGAGAGAGAGAGAGAGAGAGAGAGAGAGAGAAAGAGAGAGAGAGAGAGAGAGAGAGAGAGAGAGAGAGAGAGAGAGAGAGAGTTTTCCGGTGACCGGAGAAAATTTTCCGACGACAGTGTTAGATTTGTAATGTTTATATAGATTCAGTTTGTATTGTTTGTAATTTTTAGTGACATTTTGTACGGTTAGTATGCTTTGTACTGTTTGTCGGTTTATTTTGTAATGTTTGTACGCTTTGTTATTTTGTAATGTTTGTCGGTTTTTTTGTTATGTTTGTAAACTTTGTTATTTTTGTGCACCATGTTTATCATTTTTGTCAACCATGTTTGTAATGTTTTTTATGTCTAAAAAACAACCTGGTTGACTTTTGGATGGACCTCCTCTATATAGGGATGGAGCCTCCAAAGTCAACCCGGGTGTTTTTTCCAGTTCGTATGGATTGTCGGTCTAGTTTGTCATTTTTGTCCACCATGTTCGTAATGTTTGTATGTCTAAAAAACACCCGGGTTGACTTTGGGAAGGAGCCCCTCTCTATAGGGATGGAGCCTCCAAAGTCAACCCGGGTGTTTTTTTCCGTTCGTATGGATTGTTGGTCTAGTTTGTCATTTTTGTCCACCATGTTCGTACTGTTTGTATGTCTAAAAAACACCCGGGTTGACTTTGGGAAGGAGCCCCTCTATATAGGGATGGAGCCTCCAAAGTCAACCCGGTTGTTTTTTCTTTTTGTATGGTTTGTATTGTTTGTCGGTCTAGTTTGTATTGTTTGTACAATTCATACGTTTGTAATGTTTGTAAATATGTTTGTATGTTTTGTCACTCTAGTTTGTATTGTTCGTATGTTTGTATGGTTTGTACTGATTGTAAATCCGGTTTGTATACTTCGTAATTTTCCATAATACCCAAACTACCCTTGTCATTAATTAAATAGCCCTTCCCACTTTTTAACCATTGGATTGAAGTGTCCAGATCTAAGGGCTGGAAGGGGCTTAGTCAAGTGACTAAGCACCCCCTTAGTCACCAGATCCGCACTCCCAGACAAGTCCTATATAGCTAACAAATAACAATTTGCATAGGTATCTGCCGGAAAATTTGGTTTTACTATCTATAATTGATTTCTTCCTATCTTAGGTATCTGCCGGGAAGAGCATTAAGCCGCACTAAATTAGCTTTCGGGCATATCCATCCATCTATCTACATATACACATTTTATTATTAAAGTTGTCATTTTAAATTTCTTGGCATATTGTGACCGATTCTAGAAAGACCCTTTTGATAATCGAATTTTTTCGCATTATTGAATGGAATCGGTCGGCTCAACTGAAAATCCTAGTCCAAGAAGCAAATCTAATTTGGACCGTTTTAAAATGAGTCACAAACTGGCTGGATCGATCATGATTGGTTTGTGCGATTCATGATTGAAACTATCCTAATAAAAACTCTATTACTATGATTCAAACACCTAGGTTGCTTAAGCGAAGAGAGAGTACTATAACCAAGTAGGAATATGTTGCAATTTGGTATTTGTACTTTCATATTTCTATATATATTTTACTTTAGCTTAAAGTTAATAAATAATTCTTTGAAATTTAAAAGGAGACTAATCTTGAAAATAAAACTCAAGTAAAATTGATTTGAAAATTATATATTAGATTGTATATGTGGTTTACTCTATTATCATTACCCTTTTAATTATGCCAAATAGCAACTTCTTTCGAATTTTGACCTCCTATTCTTTTTCATGCTCATGAAAAATTATACTAATTAAGTTTTATGTGAATAATTAGATTAAGGAGTTTGCTAGCTATGGTAACAGGGGCGGAGCTACAGCTGGTCTCGAGGGGGGGGGGGCCCGAGATTCGTGAAAGTTACGTCTAAACTACATCGATATTTTGAAAATTTCGTAAAAACTAACAAAAGACCTAATATGTTTAGTGTGCAAATTTGAAAAGACAAAGTAGGCTTAGTCAAGCAGGGAGGAAGTGAGTTATGGTGCAGTTGGTTGAGGGTTTGATACCCAGTCTATGCAATTCTGTTACTTTTTATTTGCTTTCTGTTTTAATATATCTACATAATTACTCTTTTAAATTTATTATTTCTTGACTCATTTAATTTCATGTTTAGTTTTTTTACCACTTTGCAATTTTATATCACTGAAAAATTATCCATTTTGACCTTTCATAAGTTATTCTACATCAATATTTTGACTCTAATCATCTAAAATGATTAATCATAATAATAATGAAAGTAAAATTTACTTTGATTCTCTTGCTTAGTTT